TCTTTGAACTTGGAAAACCTGGTCACCTGGGCTTCTTTTGTTTCTCTTCTCCCTGGGTGATCCCTCTTCCCCACTCCCCAGCTCTCTCATTCCCACTCCCTTGGGGGGGGTTCAGATTTCTACCCCTTTTGGCCAAGAAATATCCTTAACTAAGGATTCAAGGGTTCAGTTTCTAACTCTTAACAGGTCCAGAGGGACTTATTCACACTGGCTGTAACACCTCAACCACTTAGAACTGAGAACTTTAAGTGTTACAGTAAGTAACACTTTCTACTGCTTACTATTAAAAACTCCCTTGGAAACTCCACAAAATCACCCAGCATGAAATATGACTCCCCACTGGAGAATTTTTTAAACTTCTGAGTAAAATGCTTGAACAAGGGTCACATCACCTCCACCTTGTACCTGGGGGCTCAGTTCTGGGTTATGATTCTGCTTTGACAGCTTGATAGTTGCCAGGTACCTCAAGAGATTCAGCTTCTTTCATAAAATGAGGCTGGTTAAACATCACTAGGCAGTAAGCTTCTTAACCACAAAGAAACGTCAATCTATTTTCCTAACCCCCAGCTGGGTACCTTGTACAGGACCCAGTGCACAATTGCAGAAACATTCATTAGAAACAGTAAATGTGTGTTGACAGAATTAATGAGATATATCTACATCCCAAGGAGGCTGTGATGAAAAAAATTGATCATGTCTGTTAAAACACTCTGAAAATGAACAACTCTTAGAACAACCTGGAAGACTGTATGACACGTTGCCTAGAGAGTTTGCACAAGATTTGGAGTCAAACAAACCTACGTTCAAATTGCAAGAATGACTGGCTGAGCTTCAATTTCTTCATCGGAAAACTGAGCATTATCACGTATTACACAGGCTTGATGGAGTTGTTGTGAGGCTAGACTTGGCTGAGAAACATAACAATGCCTGTTGCAGTGCACTGGGCATATAAACGTTACCATTTGTAAAACTAAACCATTATTTTTTATCTTGTACATCAGATGCTTTAATCTAAACATCTGCACATCATCTAATCTTAAAAATGGGTATTTCTGTTTTTCTCAAATGTCATTTATTAGAAAATACAATTCCGGAGAAAGTAGAATATACAAAGGGTCTGGGAAGTGGGTACAGTACACACACCTCTAAATCAGGGCATAGAGGGTCAAAATAAAATATGCTACAGGCAAAAGCTGGTAACATATCTATGGTCCAAACATCTGGGAAGGTTTCACCCCTTTCTTCCCCACTCCCCCCAAGCCCTCTCCTCAACAACCTGCTTTATCCTTGGCAGTTTTATTTATTTTGTAATACTAGGGATTGAACTCAGGGCCTCACACATGCCAGGCAAGCGCTCTACCACTTGAGCTATGCCCCCAGCCCTTTTGTTCTTGTTTTGTTTTTGAGATAGGATCTTGCTAACTTCCCCCTGGCTGGCCTAGAACTTTTTATTCTGTTCCCTTTATCTCCAGCTTCCAGAGTAGTTGGAGCAGGGATTATAGACATGTACCACCACATCTGACTGCATTTTTAATTTAAGAGAAAAATTTAAATTTCCTGGCTGCCCCATGGCTTTAATAAATTGGAGCTTCTTTTTCTAGTAAAGGAAAAAGTCTGCAAAAAGGGGATTTCTGAACCCTGGAGTTGGGGAGGAAGCTGGTGAGGGACAGTTTACAGAACATCCCCTCCTCTCCTTAACTCCTTTCCCAGTTAGGGGACACATCCAAGCAATTCAGGTTTAAAAGGTTATTGTTAAATTCAAAGTCTTCTTTTCTTGAAGGAAAACAACCCTTTGGAGAAAAGGTGAGAGTGAACTTTAAATCCATCTGGTAGGGAATAAAGAGACCCAGTCTCTCCCCTTCAGCTCCTGAGCTCAGCTCCAGGGGGGCAATCATGGCTCCAGTCCAGCCTCCTCCAAACCAGGGAAGAGCACTGGAAAAGGCAGCATTGCTGGAATCCCCAGTCCCACTCCCGTCTGCTGTGGAGTGGGCATCCCTTTGGCTCCAGACTAAATAGGTTTATGGCCCCACAGAATGAGGGAAATCCTTAGGAAAAAAAAAATGTGACAGAAAGGCAGTTTGGGAGAGAAGAAACACACAACAGAAAAAGTGGAGAGAAGAAGGTACTTTCTAGAAACTACACTGTCCAGAAACTATCAGGAGGCAGTCATACTGCATCTGTTGCCTATAGGCCTAGTCCAGGGCAATGATGCTCTTGGGTGAAACTAAATCTAAGGGTTGGGTCAGTATTTTGTCCCACCAGGAAAAAGAGACCTATGGGGGGAGCACCCCCAGCGTAGTCACAGGGACCAGATGGCCCACCTGAGGCCCAGAATGAAGGGGCAGGGGGAGAAGACAGTATGCAGGTCAAGTCCTAACAGAGCAGAAGAGAGAGGAAAAACTCCTCCCTAAAGAGCATGGGTCCCTCGATACAGGTCCTTGGTGGAACCCCACACGGAAGGCCCTTCCTTACACACGTAGGTATCTTGTTGCTCTCCTTTTGGAGGCAAAATTGTAAGGGCCCAGGAGCAGGGGCCTCAGTCCAGTACAGGCAACCCTCCTCCTTGTCTCTCCCCGCTTACCCTAGAGAGGGAGGGCTTGACCGAGGACCACTGGGCCCCTCCTCATAGTTCCTATAGCTAGAAAACAAAACCCAAAATATCCTAGGGAAAAGTCCCAATAAGAACCTTCATCATACAAAAAGTCCAAATAATCTTCCTCTCTTGCTTCTGAGGCATATGAATGTCCTTCTCGCAAAGCTTCCTGTCCCACTTAGGACAACATTACTATTTCATTTTTTAAAAATAAAAATAGAGATATCCACCCACCTCCCCACAAATGCTACTTCATACAGCCCACCCCCACAACACCCCAAACCAGGCATTGCTCCCTTGACACCAAGGTAACTTAAAACTTTGCTGCAACCTCTCAGCTTCCAAGGGGCTGATCAGCACAGGAAGGGGTGGCAGAAACCAGCCTCCTCTCATGGAGCCAGGTCCACTTGGACCCAGGAGGACCACTGAGGGCCCTGCCCCACCCCGAGGAAATGAAGAGTCCAGCACGGGAAGAATCCTTTCCCTTAGCTCTGGCTGCCAGTCAGGGTCCTGGGTTGTGATTCTGCTGGGCTCACAAGGTCCCATGACTTCGAGACCCCAGTGCAAACCATCCTGTCTTCTCCTGGGCCAGGTCCAGCTCGCGCAGGCGGATGTGCACCTCCCCAAGGAGCACATTTTCCCAGAATCCTTGCTCGCTCAGCACACTCAGCTGGAGCTCACGCTGCTGAAGGTCTCCCTTGGGGATCCCATCATATACCAACTGCAGGACATAGACATTGGGAAGAAAGGGAAGTAGTGAGAGAGAGCGTTAATAGTTCGCAGTAAGTTGGACGCAGGTGGCTCACACCTGTAACCCTAGCTACGCAGGAGGCAGAGATCAGGAGGATCGCTGTTTGAAGCCAGCCCAGGCAACTAGTTCTCAAGACCCTATCTCGAAAAAAACCCATCACAAAAAAGGGTTGGTCCACTCTGGAAAAAAATTTGGAGGCTACTTAAAAAGCTGGACATCAATCTACCATTTGATCCAGCAATACCACTCTTGGAGATATACCCAAAAGACTGTTACTCCAGAGGCACCTGCACATCCATGTTTATTGCGGCACTATTCACATAGCCAAGTTATGGAAACAGCCAAGATGCCCCCACCACTGACGAAATGGATTAAGAATTGGTATCTATACACAATGGAATTTTAATGCAGCCCATGAAGAAGAACGAAATGTTATCATTCGCTGTAACATGGATGGAATTGAGAAACATCATTCTGGGTGAGGTTAGCCTGGCTCAAAAAACCAAATCATGTCCTTTCTCCTCATATTGGACATTAGATAAGGCAAACACAACAAGGGGATTGGACTATGAGCACATGATAAAAGCGAGAGCACACAAGGGAGGGTGAGGATAGGTAAGACACCTAAAAAATTAGCTAGCATTTGTTGCCTAAGCAGAGAAACTAAAGCAGATACCTTAAAGCAACTGAGGCCAATAGGAAAATGGGACCAGGAACTAGAGAAAAGGTTAGATCCAAAAGAATTAACCCTAGAAGGTAACACCCACGCACAGGAAATCCAATGTGAGTCAATGCCCTGTATAGCTATCCATTCCAACCAGCAACAAAACCCTTGTTCCTTCCTATTATTGCTTATACTCTCTCTACAACAAAATTAGAAATAAGGGCAAAATAGTTTCTGCTGGGTATTGAGGGGGGGGAGCGGGAGGGGGTGGAGTGGGTGCTAAGGGAGGGGTGGGGCAGGGGGAGAAATGAACCAAGCCTTGTATGCACATATGAATAATAAAAGAAAAATGAAAAAAAAAAAAAAAACCAAAAAAGGGTTGGTGGGGTGGCTCAAGGTGTGGGCCCTGAGTTCAAACCCCAGTACCGCAAAAAAAAAAAGAGTTCCCCAGGAACAACGAAGAGATAGTTGCTCAAGCTCCTGGTGGTTAGATCTGGCCGAGGCCAAGACCACTTTCTCTCTCTAGTGCAAAATCCAAGGAAGCATTTGAGAACTTTGTTCTCTGCCGAGTTCAAGTTGGTGAGGCTTTCTGTTCGGGTCTCTGTCAGGACCAGCAGGCTCCTCCTTCACACTGATTAGGGACCAGGCCCCAGCTTGGAAATCCCAATCGTAAGGATCAGAATGCTTTTTACATAAAGACGGATAGTAAATATCGTACAGTGTATGTCACAACTTCTCAAGCCTGCCATTGCAACATGAAAGCAGTCACAGACGACCTAAATCAGCAGGTGTGGCCTTTCCAATACAACTTGATTTATCAGGCAGCTTGCCAACCCCAGCCCTACCCTACCATTTTCCCTACACACCATCTCATTGTAGGTGGGGTTGCAGGTCTTCCGGGCCACTTTGGTTTTCCTCTTAGTGGTTTTCTGAGGGTCAGGAAGGAGGTAAATCTTCACATAAGGGTCTGGGTCATTCCCATCCTGTAGCAGTTGCTATAACAGAATGAGAACAGAGCAGATAATGATTCCTGGCTGTTCGCCACCACTCTTGTGATCAGACCCCATTCAGACGCTCCTCGCCCACATCAGGCTTCTTGCAAATGCACACCTAATTTATTTACCTGCTTCCCAGCTCACTGGTAAAAATATCTACCGTGATCATGTTTGTTAAGTGTCCTACTAAAAAAAAAAAAAATCGATCAGCTCTCCTATTAAATTAAGTTTACACTTTTTATCTAAATGTTCAGGGAATCCCATTATGTGGTCTGTTCTGAGTGAACCGTCATACTCCCACCCCACCCTGGCCCATCTTCTTCTTCTTTTGTCATCTGATCTATTAACTTCTAAGAGGTGGAGACATAAATCAGAGAGATTAGGTTGCTTGCTCAAGGTCAGTCATCTACTGATTCACCCAACTGATTCTTTTTCTTTTTTGTAAGCCTTGGGCCCAACCCAGGGCCTTGAGTGTGCTAAGCGGCTAAGCCACACTCTCAGCTTCCCAGGTTGATCCTTTTAAAACTTAAGTCAGATCTACCCATAGCCCTCTGATGATTTCCATCTTATTCAGGGTAGAAGCTGGAGTCCTTACTGTGGTTGTGTTCTGCCATGCCCTCTCCATCCTCACCATCTGCTTCAGCCTCTGGACCCTTGCAGCTCCTCACATACCCCAGGCAGTCTCACAACTCAGAGCTTTTGGGTCTAACTGCTCCCTCTGTCTGGAGCAGTCATCTTTCAGGCATATACATGTGGCTCCCTCCCTCACCTCCTTCCATCTTTGCTGATCCAGCTCCTCATCAATGGCCTGACCACTCTATGCAAATGAGACTCCCCTCATTCCACCCTGGGTTCCTTCTTTGCTTTATTTCTTGCCTTGCTCCCACCACATCTTACATGCCATGTATTTTACTTCTCAGTTTGTCTTTTGTCTGTCTGCCTTTTTCAACGAGAATGGGAGCTCTCTTTGAGTGTGGGATTTTGTTTTATTTTCCCCTGTATCCAGAGCTAATGTGTTGATACCAGATGAACATTTGTTGAACAATGGTGTAAAAGTGAAATCGACCTGACTCCATAGCTCACGCTACTCCGCCATGTGCCACTGCTCCAATTTACACAACATGCCCAATCCAGGGTACAGCACATGGCAAGAATTCAATGAAAGTTCCCTTCCCCTTCCATTTAGCATCTGTACCAAAAATTTAGTAATTATATGCTGTCTTGATTATGCTTGAAGGATGTCAAGTGGCTGCCTTATCACTATAATCAGGTAATAAGCTTCTTGGGTCTCTCCTTTATGATCATCATAACAACAATAATCTGAAAGGTAAGCGCTCTCCATGCATTAGCTCATTTAATCCCCATAGCAACCATAGTACTAACATTATCCTCCTAACAATGAGACTCAGAGTACTTCCAATATTGCCAAAGGCCACAGGAAGCCAGCAGCTGTGTCTGGAATTGCCTGGCATGGGTGGAGCCATGATGGATGCTCAGTAAAGCTTTGTGGTTGCTCTCGGGACAGAGGGGACAGAAAAGTCTGAGCAGTGGGAACAGTACCAGACAAAGAACCAAATGTACTTACCAAGCCCCGAATATGCATAACCATGATGAAGAGTTTATCGTTTTTGTAGGAGATGGACAGCTTCACCTCCCCTCCCACCTTCCCAACTGGCCTGGCCCACGTGCTGTCTGTAGGAACAAAAGAAGCCAAAAAAAAGTCAGCAGGCCAGCCATGCCCCCCGACTAGAGCCCAGCAGGTATCCTGCTTTCTTTCTGATCCCCTACCCCAGCCCTTCCACGTTAGGTTTCTGATCCTCACAGGGTATCTAGACACGTGGGCTCTGGAATGTGATAGAGTTGGGTTGGACTAGGTCTACCCAATCTGTAGGTATAATCACTAACTGAATATCCATTCTCTGGGAAACTCAAGTCACAGAGCTGTGACTTGAGCTGTGACAGCCTGAGTGGGAAACCAGATTCCCCAGCAAGCGAGAAAAGAAACAGGAGATGAATCCAGGAAAGAGAAATGGGAAGAAGTAGGGGTAGGAGAGGTGAGCCTTGGGTGGTTTGGTAGGTTAGTAGGACTGTGTTCAGGAAGGTACTGTACCTGAGGACTTAGGAACTGGACTGGTGCCTGTGGCCTTCTCATCCCGAGGCAAGGGGTGGAAGAAAGTGTACACCAAATCACACTGGAATGAAATCAGAAAACAGGGGTCATTCTTCAGTAAGTTACAGCTCAATTAAAAAAATAAAAAAGAAGAAAGGATCAGCTGGGTATGGTGACACACACCTGTGATCCCTGCACTAGGGAGGAGGAGGCAGGAAGATCATGAGTTCAAAGGGCAGCCTGGACTGTGCAAGAAGACCCTGTCTTATTCAAAAACAAAACCAAATGTAAGTCCTATTTGGGTGATGGCTCAAGCAAAAGAATTTGGGGGAAGCTGGAGATGTAGCTCAGTGGTAGAGCACTTGTCTAGTGTGTATGATCTCCAGTACCACAAATTTAAAAAAAATTAGGGGAGTGATGGAAAATTTTGAATATGGGGCTATGTGTTACATGACGTTATAGTTATGTAAGAGCATGTTATTATATTTTAGGATGCATAGGGAGGTTTTTTTTTATTGTTTTATTATTCATATGTGCATACAAGGCTTGGGTCATTTCTCCACATAAGGAGTATTTAGGGTTCCAAGATGCAATCATTTGCTTTAAAATATTTCATAAAGATAGATGAAACAAATATGGCAAAATATTAACTGTTTATAGGATGACTATATAGACACTAATCTGTTGTTTCTCTACTTCTCTGTATGTTTGAAAGTTTTCAAACTAAAATGTAGGTCACTTCAGGTCAAAAGCTATTGCTCTTGTTCTTTTCCACACTGCCTCCCCTAGCAACACCCACCCTGCTCAAGCACAGCAATGCTGGTGCCAGCCTGGGACAAAGAGCAGGAATCCTACTCTGAAGAACATTTCCTAAGTAATTAGGGGGGAACAGAAACAAAACAAAAACCCTAAATATGTGAAAGTACCCACTTGAGCATTATTCGTGGAAAAAAATGGAAACACTCTAATTTTTCAAAAAAAACCCAATAGTAAGGAGATCATGGTACTGCAAGTCAGTAGTCTGATTCGGTACAGATATTTAAAGTCACAGCACTTGTTTACTACCAATGCTCAGGAAAAAAGGTCTCAGAATGCAGAATTAAGTTTAAGCTACGACCAGCATAAGATGGTAAAAATCATGATTATATGGACAAATAGGCAGGAAACATAGAAAATGAACTTAGATGATTGGCTGGAGTAATGAGATTCCTGATGACTATATTAGGTAGGTATACACACCATCAACCTGCTCAAAAATCTTCTTCCTCAAGAGGAAAACCAACAATCCATCCATTCATCCATCCTTCCTTCCTCTCTTCCTCCCTTTCTCCCTCCCTCCCTCTGGTTCTAATAACTCCAGTCACCCTGGGGTCCCATCTGCCTGTAAATGTCTCTCTGGGCCCCAGGTTGTGGTAATTTTTGTATTTCACTGTGTTATGTGTAGACCACATGAGGCTGGGCCCATCATGGACGTGTCCTCTGTAGAGCCAGGCATTGGTCATTCAGCAGGTGGACATAGAAGAGCCAAGTCCTCTACTGCCCCCCCCCCCACCCCGCAACTGGGAACAGAGATAGCATGACCCACCTGGGCCACCTCCGGGGCTGCATGGATCAGGGGCCGGATATAGCCATTTAGCTCCTCCCTCCGCCGCTCAGCCACCACCTCTCCCCTGGAACGGCTGATCACAAAGCGACTGGGGAAGCTGGAGAGTCAGGCCCACCACAGATGGAGGGGAAGATGGGGAAAAAAAGTGAGGCTTTGTCCACATTTCATAGGCATTTCTAGCCACCTGGCTTTTGCCAACAGCTTTTCTTTCCAGGGCCCTTCACCCCCTCTTTCTCCCTGGCTTCCCTGCCCAGGTCTGACACCTGCTTACACTGCCCACTTCCAGGGACCTCAGATAAGAAAACTAAATATTTGGGCAGAGTTCTGTGGCTCCTCAGAAGTGCCTGAAGGGTTTTGGAGTCCCCAGGTTAAAATTACATTTGAAAACTTTTTAATTGTGGAAAAATACATGACATAAAATTGACCATTTTCAGTATTTTTAAGTTCGCAGTTCTGCAGCATTGAGTGCATTCCCAGTGTTGTACAAGCCACTACCATTCCCCTTCAGAACTCTTTTCATCTCCCCAAACTGAAATCACTAACCCCTCAACCACCATTCTAGGTTCTGTCTCTAAGAATCTGACTTCTCTAGGTAACTTGGACAAGTAGACTCGTTACAACTTTTATCTTTTGGTGACTAGCTTATTTTGGTTAGCCTCATGTCCCAAGGTTCATTCACATTGTAACGTCACAATGTCCTTTCCTTTCAGTGCTGAATAATATTCCACGCCACACTTTTCTATCCATTAGAAAAGTGGCTTAACTCTTTGATAAGTTGGAAACTTTGAAACATCTTCAGGTTCAACCCACTCATGTTTCCTGACAAGTGGGACCAAGTTTATTTCCAAGGCTAGAGCAAGACTTCTGGAGTGTCAGGCAGTCTTGGCCAGCAGGGGGCGCACTTGTTACCATAGTCCACCCCAGACCAAGTAAATCTCTAGTCTAAAAGGATCCTTTCTGCCAGCTGCAGTCCTGCCAGCCCCTTCTTTTTCCCTCTCCAGTACCCCTCTGTGAAAAGAGAGGCAAGGGGGAAGCTACCTGGGCAAGAGGGAAGAAGGGAAGAGCAGCCGCAGCTTATTGTGCAACTCCTGGAACTCTTCAAATGTCCTCTGGATGTAAGAGGCCTCGTGTGCATTTTCTCTCATCACTTTTACCACATATATCTGCAAAGGTCCAAATCTCAGAGTACACCTGCCAGACCCCCTCTGCACCCATCAGAGGGGGTAGGTAGGGAAAAAGAAGTATGTGTGCATTGGGGGAGGCACTTTACAGAAAGAGGGCAAGAAAGTCTTCAGTGGAGAAGATAGCATATATGCAGGAATCTGAAAGCAAAGATTTCCTGCCTATATCTTGTAGGACCCTTGACTCGGGATGGGGGCGTGGTTTACTACCCAGTTCAGTTCCCCAATTTTCCATAGGTCTCTTGAGCAAGGGAGGAAGAAGTAGTCTGGAATTGCTCCCAGCATAAGAGATTCAGTAAACTCTAGTGTCCACTGTGCATGTGTGAACAGAGTCAGGACCCCGAAAAGCAGGGGTGAGTAGGAGCAAGAGCAAGTCAGAGAGGAGAAAATACCTACATAGCCCTTGCTGGGGTGGAAGACCTTCTCATGACGGCAGAGAAACACATCACTGATGCGGCCAGAGCTCTTAAGTGTATGTGTTCGGGGAGCAAAGGAGAGAGTCAGCCGGTCATCTGAACCTGTGAACTTCATCTGAGCCAGGTTATGGATGAAAAAGTTGAGCTTGGTGGCTACGCTGCCCAGGCTGGACTCAATCAACCTAATGGTGCAAGAGGACAGGAAGCAAGGGATATAACCATGGATCCAAATCCCCTCTGCCTCAACAAGCTATCTCAAAAGATATTCCCTGACTCCTGAGATGAACAACCAGATCAGATCACTTTCCCTATGTAACACCCTCTTGGAGCACATGATTGGCACACAAGTACCTCCTGAAGTTTCTTTGTGTGAATTCTAGGGTCTTATCTCCCCCTCCCTGCCCACCTGAACCAAAGACAGTCAAACCAAGTTAGGAAAGAATTAGGGATCTCACTGTAGGGTTTCCATGTAAATAAATATTATCAGACAATTCAAAGTTCAGTACAATGGGATCATTGCTCACACCAAGCAATGATCAGTCCAGAGACTTCACCTTAAAAATGACGTGTCATGAAAGGGGAAGGGTCTGGCAGAGTGAGCTAAACACTGTTACAAAATTTGTTATTACACACTGCCCCAGAGACAAAGTCTTTGGCTGGGACCTGGTGAGAATGCAGATAAGAGTGACAAAAATACCCCTATTTACAAAGGTTAGCCACAAAATGTGGACAGAAAACAGAGGCTGAGTGAGTACCTAAGTCAGGGGCAAAGTTGGGGCAGTGAGTATAACTAGGATCTCAGCTCTGCTACCTAGGCTAAGCCCCTCCATTTGGGTGAGCAGTGCGTATTACCTAGTGAAGTAGGTAGTGGCATTGGCCTCTGTGTCCTGAGGTCTCAGGGCGTCATACACATACTTGAGGTCCTCCAGGTCTGAGAGCTCGGGGATCCCACAGGACAACATCTAGATAGAGAGGAAAGAAGGACAAGGTTTCTATAACAGGGAAGTCTGGCTTCTTCCCCTCCCTAAGGCAAGATTTTCTATAGCTAGGCTCCCTGATCCTTCTTGAAGATGGTAGGCAGATGCTGTAGTCAGGGCTGGTGACCACAGGAATTGAGGGGGTGACACAGGGGGTCTGATACCTTTGTCCCCAGGTAGTCTGGGTTCCTGCCTTTATCTAGGGCAGTCAGGTACTTGGTTGGGGCTTAGAGAAGTAGATCTCCAGGAATCCTTTGGAACCAGCCAGGGTAGTCTTAAAAATGGCACCAGATATATTGAGAAGGAGGAATTCAGAGAGGGATGAAGCTCCTCACCAGGCCCAGAAGGTTGAGGAAGAGGTGGGTATGCTTGCGAATGAGGTTGTAGGCTTGGCAGCAAAGGTCAACAAAATCATGGAAGCGGCTGGAAGGCTTGTCACCCCCGTTGATGACATACGCCATGTCCGAGGTGAAGACAAAGGGGGCACGGTCCCTGGGCCAAGGGGAACATACAGGTAGAAGGTCAGTGTGGAAGAGGAAGCCCACCTTGTGGGCTGACTCAAGGGATGGCTCCTTTCACCCCTCATCATGTGTTCAAATCTGAATTAGGTGGAGCTCGCTTCCCCCGCCCCACCTTAATTTTATAAGATCCCCAGAGACAGATATTCTACAACCTTCACTGGTCCCTTATTTGTGAGATAGCAATGTTTTCTCCTGGATAGCTAATCAGATTCCCGTTTGCTGCAGTATGGGTCATTTCCCTTTGCTCAGTCCTCAGTAAGGAGGGAGAACAGCTGGTTCCCACCTTCTGCAAGGCTTTGTAAGGATCTGACCTCTCTGTCAGTCTTCTCCTCTCCAGATCTACCCAGCCCAGGGACAATGCTCTGAGGCCCAGCTCCTTCCATCACAGGCTTGGGTCCCAGCTCAGAACCATTTTTTTTTTTGTTTGTTTGTTTTGTTTGTTTTTGGTGGTACTGGGGTTCGAACTCAGGGCCTCAGGCCTACTAGGCAGCTGCTCTACCATTTGAGCCACTCCACCAGCCCATTCAGAACCATTTTTGCTGACCTCCCTGGCCACCCCCCAGGACCCATACATCTGGCTTCAGGAGACCACTTACCGCTTGATGTTGCCGAACATCTGGGCATGACCCAGGAAGCGGCCAAAATCTATGTGGAACATGTGGCCTGTAGTCTTCAGCATGATGTTGTCATTATGACGGTCACAGATGCCCAAGACGTACGTGGCCACGCAGCAACCCGCACAGAGTAGATGAAGTTCTCCACGGCCTGAGAGAGTGGAGGGCAGGCGGGAGGACCACAGGACTACAGCCAGGCTGAATTCAGACAGCCCTAGCCTTGCTCTCTCTTGTGAACCCCAACGGCACCTCATCCCCACTGTTCATCCTTATCCCTTATGCACACAGAAACATCTCCCGTGCATTCTGGAGTAGAAAGTGTAGGTGTCTAGCCCCTCCCTTCCTCTGACTTTGTCTTCTCCTGTGACACTGGATGCAATGACAGTGATCCAAAAGCCCCGATGTCAGCAGTCCAGACTGGGGAGACCTCAGTGGACAATGAGACTGACATGACTTTTCGATCATGTCATGATGAGCCTAACTCAGGCATGGCTTGAGCAGTGGGCTGGAGGGGGCTTTCGCTACCTGCTCAGAGTCTGTCCATTCTTCTTCCTGCCCCAAATAAAACTCTATGCCCAGAGCCCTTGGTAACAGCTAAATATCCAATTAAAGTCACTATACTTCAAAGAAGAGCTGAGGCAGCTTCACACTTCTAGGAGTGTTCTACACTTAAAAATTAGACATCTCTAGTTGGTAAAATGTGTTAGAGATATTTTTTGAGTTAGAGATATTTTGAGACAGAGGGGGTCCGGGCACTGGTGGCTCACTCCTAGCTACTCAGGAGGCGGAGATCAGGAGAATCGCAGTTGGAAGCCAGCCTGGGCAAATAGTTTTCGAGACCCTATCTCGGAAAAAAACCCTTCACAAAAAAGGGCTGGTGGAGTGGCTCAAGGTGTAGGCCCTGGGTTCAAGCCCCAGTACCACAAAAAAAAAAAAAAAAAAGAAGGGGGGGTGGAGCTAGGCATGGTGGCACACCTGTAATCACAAAACTCAGGAGGCACAGGCAGGAAGGTTGTGAGCTTGAGGCCAGTCAAGCTATATAGTGAGTTCAAGGCCAGCCTGAGCTAAATGGTGTCTTTAAAAGCAGGGAAGGAGGGTGGGGGGCTAGTAAGGGGTGATGTCTTTTTTTTTTTTTATTTTAAACTTTTTTGGCAGTACTCAGGACCTCATGCTTGCCTAACATTCTACCACCTGAGTCACCTCCCAGCCTGGGTCCACTTCTTCTATCTCTTGAGGAAGTAAAAAAAATACATAGAATCAGCAGATGGACCCCTTTCACCTTCTAAATCATCTTGTGAGGTCTCAAGAATTCACAAAAACTCAAGAAAGACTTAGAACAGAGGGCAAGAGTCAATTAGGAATATACAAAACTGGGAATGAGAGAAAAAAGGGGTCAGAGCCACCAGGAATGTAGGAATGGGAATAAGAGGAAGTTGGTCCTCCCCACCTCCCTCCACAAATCCCACCCTTCCTTCAGGACCCTCCTTTAGTTCTACATCTTTCCAGACCTTCTCAGCTCACATAGGCTCTTCCTCTTTGGATTCCTCCAGGCTCACTGTCACCATCACTCACTCAGTGCCTACCTGGCCTTTTCAGGCCCCCTTCCCCACCTACTCCTTGCCAGGTTTAGGGATTTCATCTCTCAATAGCTTCCCAGCTTTTACAAAATTAACTACACAGACTCTCCCCTCCCCAGCTACTTGTCCAATTACAACCAGATGACTAATTCCCTGGAAACCTGGAACAGAAAGCCTGTAAAGACATCACAGAATTCATCTAGAAGAAAAAAACCATTTCTAAGAAAGCGAGATCTATGAATGAAAGAAAGAACTCAGTAAGAGGAATAACCCATCCACTCCCAGTCTTGACCTTCCTCTCCATCAATCCTGCCCTTGTTTCAAGTATCCTTTGTACCTTAAGTGAGTCTGGTGCTAGCTCACAAAATAGCTGTGTGCCCATGGGTAAGGACTAAATTCTTACCACCTCCTGAGATAGGCAGGGTGTTAGTGGTGAACTGGCAACAAGTCTCACTCTAGAATGGGGGGTACCTTTCTGACTTAAAGGTCTCACTTATAGGATATGGGGTGCTCTTGTCTGGTGGTCAAGAGAAAACTATCTCTAGTTCTATTCTTCTGGAAGTCACCATAAGAAAGTACCAGCATTGTTCTAACAGAAAGTCTACAAAAGGCAAGAAGCTAGCTTTGAAAGACTTTTTAACATTAACACACAACGCTAGTTGCCGTGTGCATGTGCACTTGCTGTACATACTTCCACCACATTTATTATGACTCTTTAGTACACTGGCAGGGAGTAATGTAATCCCAGCACCTGGCACAGGTGCCTCTTTTTGGTAGGTGTTCCAACCTGAAAAGCACACATTATTATAAATATCATATGGGGTTGGAGGAGGAAGGAAAGAATCAATAGTAGTCCTCTCCAAGGAAGAGGTGTGAAATGTACAGGGCTTGGGTTTTTTTTTAAACCTACATGTTGATTTTCTTTTCTCCCTGCCCCCGCACCCCCCATACTGGGGTTTGAACTCAAGGCCTACACCTTGAGCTATTCCGCCAGCTCTTTGTCGTGATGAGTTTTTTCAAGATAGGGTCTCTCAAAATGCGATCCTCCTGATCTCTGACTCCTGAATAGCTAGGATTATAGGCGTGAGCCACTGGCATATGGCTCTTTTCTTTTTTTTTTTTTTTGGTGGTATTGGGATTTGAACTCAGGTCCTCATGTTTGCTAGGCAGGTGCTCTACCACTTGAGCCACTCCACCAGCCCAAAGGGGTGGGTTTTGAAGGATGGGTAAGGGAAGAAATGGTTCTTAGAACCAGAAGCCAGGCAGATGGAAGCATAAGGAAGCCTAGGTAATTCAGGTGACTTCAGAAGTTCTCTCATTTATTAGTAAGAAACACAAAAAGCCAGCTTCAGGAAGCAAAGGAGATCGGAAGCCTATACTGAGTTTGAAGTATGGGTAACACACAGTGGACAAGTCCAGCAAGCCAGTAGCTACAGAGGCTGAAGCTGAGGGAAGGGAGACAGCTGGAGGAAGGGCTTTGGAAGTCATCAGTAAAAGGATAAGGGGCAGAAGAATTATGAAAGGATGAGCTGGCAGAAGAGTGCAAAGAGCACATAAGCCAGGAATTAAACCCTGGGGAAGGCAAACACTTAGGGTGATTTAAGTTCATCTCATTACACATTCACTAAAACAATATTCTGATTGTGATTTGGCTGTCTGTGTGTGTGCTTTCCCTCAGGCGTAAAACACATCGATCAATAGAAATTAGTATTTAGCTTCTCTTAAAGTGAAACTTACATGCATTCTGGCATTACTGTGACTTGTCCCCTCCCACTCCTACCCCCAACCTCATTAAACTCAGAGACTAGAGTCGTGAAGCTGTGGACCACGGTATGCCACCAAGGCCCCACCACTCAGGACAGCTCCACTTCTAATCTAACCTCCCCTCATTTAATCAGGAACCAGTCAGGCTTCTTTTCTCTCATCCCCATCTCAAAACTAACCTCAAACCTGGCTTCAAGTTACAGCAGCTCCACAGCTAGGAATGAGCGATGAGCATGAACTCACGTCCATGAAAAGAAGGGGTTGGGTTAAAACTCTTTCTAAGTTCTCTTGCAACCATCTCACATTCTACACAGTGGCACCAAAGCCCTCTGAGAGAGCAGAGGGCTCGACCAGGATCCATGATTAGGAGGTTCTCAAAAGATGGCCTCCTCCAAGACTCACTCTGCCAGATTTAAAACCTCAGTGAAAGTTTCCAAGGCTGATACTGTCTGACACTCCTAGATACACAGAGGTATTGGTCCATCAAAAGACAGGATGTCCTTCCCTCAACAAAGATGAGCCACCTTCTTTGTGCATGTGCCGGGCTAGTGATAAAAGAGCCATATGCCAGAGTGAGGCTCAGCCACCCTAGTTTTGGTCCCCCTGAGTCCACCAATCATACCTTCTCATATTCGTCTTCCCCAGGGTTGTGTTTCTGCAGCCAGTCAGCCAGGGGCCGGTCCTTGAAGGAACCTGTCACCCCATGTTCCACCTGAATCTTGCGCAGGGTCTCAGCGTGGGGGATCACCTCCACCATACCTGTGAGAAAGGGACTGGGGTCACAGAGCCTGCAAGAGCTGTGCCGGATGCTTCCCTATAAGCTAAATCCTAGGGTCTTCGGACAAAGTCTGCTATAGGAGGAAAGCATGATGGTGGAAAGGAAGGTCATTCCCATGTCTCATATTCTAGATCGCCCCAGTTCATGCTGCTCCCTTTTTAACTTTTACTACAGGAATCTTCAAATATATGTAGAAATAAAAAGAATGATTTTATCAATTCACATGTAACCATTGCCCAATTTCAAAAATCATCAACGTTTTGATAATTTCTTTCCATCAATTTCACTACACAACTAGTGCCCCACTTCTGGCCACCCTGGCTGGAGCACTATAAAGTCCCAGACTCATCATTTCATTCACAATGTCTCAAATGTAGTTAACAAGGACATAATCACCAAGCCCTTGTCACATTTAGAAAATTAGCAATCACAGTCTATATTCAGATTTTCTCCACTTTTGAGTAGTTTTCTCGTCTCAAAAACTACTTTACAGTTGTGGTTTGTGTGGATCAGGATCCAGTCTATCCAACAGGTTAGGCTGTTGTGTCTCAAAGTCTGTTTTGTTTTCTACAGACTTTCTCTCTCCTTCCTTCTTTTTTTTCAGGCCACTCCGCAACTTCTAACAGAATAATCTCGTTCTTTTCATTTTCCCCACTGCTCATGCTGGGTAATGAACAGACAGCAGCAAGCAAAGGGGTGCCTCCCACCCCCACCCCCAACTGACCTCTCCCACGGCCGGTAGAGAAGCAGCGGAAGATGACCATACGCATGTCCAGCCCCTCCTGGACCCAGATCTTGTTCATGATGCGGATCATCTGCAGGGTGAGCATGTCCTGGCGAAGGTCATCCCCGCACTGGATGGAGGAAGAAGGTGACCAAGACCCATCTCCATTGCTTTCCCCAGTTCCCACACCTCCCAGTGGCTCACACGACAGAGACAGGAGAAACCGTGCATTTTTCCAGCCTTGCACGTCCAACCTGCGCCCCTGGCACACCCACGTCAAAGAACCAGAGAGGCACTGGTGACCCTCATGGTTTATCCTTGTACCGCGCTGCTCTTCCCCAGTCCCACGTCCCCAGGTGAACCTGATCCAGGCTCCTCTTCTCCATGAAGCCTCCTGATCATCACGTCTGTTTGTTTTGTTTCATTTTTGAGACAGGTTCTCCCTATGGAGCCCAGGCTAGCCTCAAGCTCGAGAGCCTCCTGCCTCAGCCTCCTGAGTGCTGGAATTGCAGGTGTGTACCACCACACCCAGTTCATCGGGCCCTTTTAAAACTTAAATATTTATACCAGACTTAGAAGTCGCACACAGAGAATGTATACTATAAGGTTCTAAGTCCGAAAGTGCATTTGTTTGTTTTTGGTTTTTTTTTTTTTTTGGTGTTGGGATTAAACCCAGAACCCTGTGAATGGTAAGCACATCTTCTACCATTGAGCTATACCTGAACCCTGTGTAGGTGCGTTTTGTTTCCTCTGCTAGATTATATGCCCCGAGACTATCATTTACTTCTCAGAATCATGGAGGTATCAGTTAGAAGGGAACATAGGGTTCACCTCGTTCAACCTGTACCTGATATGTTAATTTCCTTTTCAACATTCTGCCATGTGGTTATTCAGTGTTCACTAGAATGCCCCAGGGACAGCAGACCGCCACCTTACCCATGCCATCGCTGGGATAGTTTTGCCTCCCAGAAAGTGCTCCTGTCTACTGAGCTCTCAGTTGCCTGTATAGCTCCTAACACTCTGTTCTTAATCCTCTGGGGCCATGCAGAGTTTCTCTAAATCCTTTTATACCTAATAGTCTTTCCTATATTAAAAAGGGCAGGATGAAGGCTGATAGGGGTGGCGCAGTGATAGAGCACTTGCCTAGCATACAAGTCCTGGATTTGATCCCAGTGCCATGAAAAAAGGAAGAAAAGGAAGAGAGAGAGAGAGAAAAAAAGGAAGGAAAGAAGGAAGGAAGGAAGGAAGAAAGGAAGACAAAGGGGAAAAAAAAAGGTAGCGTGGAATAGTGGGCAGAAAACCATCCTGTAGCTACACCTGTCACCTGTGGACCCCCTTCTGCTCTCCACCACCTTCACCCCACCAGGCCCAAGTAAAGTATTCTCACCTTGAAGATGACTCGGATGTGCTCACCCAGCGGATCCACATTTTGGAAGGCAAGCTTGAGGGGGACCGCATTGGAGTTAAAGTAGGAACAGTCCTGTGCAGTAGAGTGGGCGGTGACCCGGCTCAGGATGGTCCATGCCCAGGGAGGAAAACGACTTCTCCGTGTTGGATCAAGATGCTACCTACTGTCCTGCTGCTGGACCACCCAAGACCTACCCGCTCATCATTTCTTCCAGATTTCTCAGGACACCAAATCCCCCCCACCCCCATCTCCTTACTGCTCTCATCCCCATTCAGTTTGCTACCAGCTCAGCACCAGCCCTTCATTCTGCACACAACTTGAGAGTTTTGGTAAGTTTCATGTCCCATCTACAACTTCAGTTTACTCCTCTGAAAAATGGAGCTCAGAACAGAACCAACTTCAAAAGAGTTGTGAGGATGAGAGGCCATAGCCAGAGCAAAGCACACAGAGCAACGCTAGGCAGAGTCCTAGTAAGTATGGCTGATAGCCATCATCGCTGCCACTTTTCTTAACTTCATCCCTAGCACCAACAGGGAGAAACACACAGCCTCTGACCCAATTCTACAACACTGCACCGCTGTCAGGCAAAAGTCTACACACATGAGGGTTAGGGAGAGGCTACCAGTTCATTTTCCTTTCTCTTCTCCTCAATAGCCAGGGCAGTAAGGCACTGGCTTTCCATGAGCCCTTCCCACTCTGCAAGTCCCAAACCCAGTAGTCACTCACCCTGGGCACAATGCCCTTCACCAGCAGACTAGGGCTGAGTGGCAGGCGGCAGGAGCCATTTAGGACAAAGAACTGTTTCACCTCCTCCAGGCCCGTGCGGAGGATGCCCTGCCAGGGAAAGGGGAGAAGGGGATAGGGAGGTGAGACACCCCCGGGCTCCTCTCAGAGCCAAGGCTGCTCCCAGAGGTGGTGCTTAGTGATGCACCTGAGAAGCATAACAACCTCTGGGAGACCCTTAGGAAGAGAACCATCTTCCTGTGTCCCAGCCTGACTCTGCATGAGCAGCAAGCCTGAATACCTAGATGAAAGGCAGACATGGAACAGCAGGAAGCAGGCACAGAACAGAGAGGGCAGGTGACATCTTGAGATTCATGAAGGCCTGCCCAGGCTCTGCCAAGAAAAGCTAAAGATAAATCGATCTATCGATCTATCGATCTATCTATCTATCTATCTATATACTTTTTTTTGAGATAAGGTCTCACCATGTAGCCCAAGCTGGCCTCAAATGTTATGTAGCTCCAGTTGGCCTTGAACCCACTATGTAGCCCTGGTTGGCCTCAAACTCTCAATCCTCCTGCCTCAGTCTCCTGAGTGCTAGGATTATAGGCGTGTACCAACATGCCTGGCTATGATCAAGACTTTTTACTATTTTATTTCATTTTGTGGTACTGGGCTTTGAACTCAGGGCCTACACCTTGAGCTACTCCACCAACCCTTTTTTGTAAAGGATTTTTTCAAGATAGGGTCTCACAAACTGTTTCCCCAGGCTGGCTTCAAACCATGATCCTCCTAATCTCTGCCTCTTGAGTAGCTAGGATTATAAGCATGCTCTAAACTTTAGTATAAAAATCTCCCAATTTCTCAATGTCAGTTACCAGGAACAATATTGGTCTAATACAGTGCCTTGGTGCCAACAGACAAACATGCCCCCGCTACCTTTTTCAGACCTGAGCCATGATTCACCATAGATCAAACAAAATATGGCTGGATTTCAGTCCTTAAGTATCCCCTGATGGCTGGACAACCTGAACAACTGTACTTAACTTTTAAGGCAAACAGCTAAATGAAAATTTTAATATTTTGCAGGTCAAACAAAACACATTCTTGAGATGTATCCAGCTTTGTGGACTATCTGCTTGTGGTCTGCAGGTTACAGACTCACCTCCTTCTAGCTTCTAAATCAGAGATGGTCACATGCATTCTGCTGCTCGGGATGACTAAGAAGTAGACTACTAGCTGGAGAAGCACCGCACCAGAAATACAGACAGTCTCGCCAGGTGTCCCTGCTCACCTGGCGAGCAGAAGGGGTGGACTCCCGGACCTGCTGGGCTAGTTTTGCCAGGGTGTTGACAAGCCAGCACTGGCGGTTAAACTCCTCCCTCAGTCCCTTGCCACAGCAGCACAGAAGGGCAGCCAGCAGATACTGGTAGCGGATGCTGAATTGGGAGTCCTTGATACCATCTTTCAGTAACCTGCAAAGCAGGAGGAGGGTAGAATCAGACCATTCTAGGGTCACAGGCAGGAGGTTTAGGGAGAGAAGGGGCTGGACCCTACTCCAGCTCACCTGAAAACCCACCCCACCACATCTGTGAGAGGTGCTCACCTGTGCCCACCCTGACCTTGAACTTCCAGCTCAAAGCCTCTCTGCAACTCATCTCTCCTTTATATATCTGCCATGGGTGGTTGGACAAGAGGGATGAGATGATAATCATGGGGGTGACCCCCCCACCCCCAAGAAAAGATGCTAGTCTAAGGCTACAATGATAGATGGCACCATACTGGAGCCCAGACCACTAAGCTCTTCACCCTTGTATGCCTAGAGGAACTACTCCTACCCAAAGGCCACATTTCTGCCACTTACCAGAAGAAGTAGTGGGTCACTCTCAGGTCAGAGACAGCTCGTTTCAGGAGGAAGCGTACCAAGGGACTGTCCAGGTAGCACTCATACTTTAGGGCCTGTTAAGAGGAAGCAAATAAGAGACTCTATTAACTGCCTGAAATATACACCTACTACTAGGACCCCAGGTTCTAAAGGGCAGGTGCAGACTGACTCAGCAGCTCAGGGATGGGACAATCAGAACTGAAGGGAAGGTCAGGTCACCCACCTGCACCAGCTGGGGCAAGTAGTCGAGCAGCTCAGCATCCGAGAGTGAGCCAATCCACTGGACAGCCATCCGCCGGACCTCCTGGTCTGGGAAGCTGCAAAACACAGTCCAAACCCTTGACAACCCAGCTGTGGGCTCTGAGGCAGGAGTGTGAGCCAGGCATCTTCACACCTGGGTGTCAGAAGCATGGAGGGGGAAAAGGAATGTCCCCCAGGACTTGCCAAAATTGTTAGGAGAATCAACACCTTCACCTTCCCTCTAAGGATAGCAACCTTGGAAAATGATCCAGGGTTGAGCCATGAAAACAGTGTACTGTTGGGCTAGGGAGGAGCAAGAGGGGGAGTCACTCTTATTCCTTGGACAATTTAAAGAAAATGGGACAAAGTCCTCCACACAACTCCCAAAGATTTCTTCCTCGACTCCCACTCTGCCAGAAATTCCCATGATCAAAGAGCCCTCAATGTGGCTTAAAGCATTATTTTGTTTTCGTAACATCCTCTACTGCAAAGCTTGCCAGGCAAACAATGAGAGAATAACAGAATTTTTTATCAGCCGACTCATCTGGCAGAATTAGTTTTACAGAGACTAGCAAAGATGTTGCCTCAAAAAGTCCAAAAGACAAGTTAGATAGATAGATGCATTTTAATTACTGAGATGGTAAGAAATAACCCTCTAGGAAAAGCAGCCTAAGGGTCTGAGAGTGGGAGCCTTATATACCCAAAGAACCCTTCAGGGGAAGGAGGAAAGTGAGGACTGTTAAGACAGAACACCTTGATAAGGACCTGGGCTACACAGGTATATGTGTTTGTCGTTATAACTGCCAACATATAGGTGAAGTTTGGATATTTCCTTGTATGTAAATTTTACCTCAAAAGAAAAAAAAATGGAACACTGAGCTCTGTTAAGGAGATGCATATCAGAGTATTTAGAAGGGGGTTCAGTGATGTTCCCAATTTTTGCATTAAAATGTGGTCTGAGGGGAAAGAGCAACACAAGTGGTGAATTTGGTTAGAATACATTATATACATATATGACAGTATCACAATGAAACCCCTTTGTACAATTAAAATATGCTAATAAAAAAGAGGAAAAAATGATGATTGGATGGATGGATAGAGTAATAAACAGACATACAATTATGGAGCATAATGGTAGAATCTAGATGGTAGGCATATGGGGGTGTTCACTGTACAATTTTATTGTACATTTGGAAAATATTTATAACACTAGGAGAGCTCATGCTGTAATCCTAGCTACTCAGGAGGCAGAGATCAGGAGGATCGGGGTTCAAAGCCAGCCTGGCCAAATAGTTTGTGAGACCCTATCTCAAAAAAAAAAAAGCCTTCACAAAAAAGGGCTGGTGGAGTGGCTCAAGAGGCAGGCCCTG